TTATGCCTTAGACATGTTGAGAATCTAATGCATTTTCTCTTATTTTTAAAATTTTTCAAGGAAAACAAGTAATCTTTTAAGAGATAAATATTTTGGTGAAGGAAATATATAGATGTGTTATTTAGTTTGGTAAAGTCACTTAACAAATTTCAGATGCAGTTTTATTCTCTATCAAATAACATATCTGGACAAAATTACTGAGGACTAGGGCTGGCCAGGTAGTTCAGTGGACTAAAGTGCCTGCTTAGGCAGAGCACAGCAACTGGGGTTCCATCCCCAGAAAACTACGCTAGCCCCACCTCCGGGACACACTGAGACAGCAATTGAGACTTGGCATGGTGACTTGCACCTGTAATCCCAGCACTTGGGAGGCTGTAAACAGGAGAATCACTGAGTCTGATCAACATAGTAAGATTCTGTAGCCCCTGTACTAAATACATAAAAATATTATTGAGGTTTTCAATAGCTATTTATTATTATTAACTATATTCAGTAGTCTGGATTATTGGTCTGCAATAATATTTCTGCCTCTCCCCTATCTACTGCAGGAAGAGACTACTTTCCTATTTTATGGTCAGGCTTTGCCATGTGATATGCTCTGCTCAACAGAATGATGGCAGACTTGACAAGGCCACAAGCTAAGTGTGTTTTTGGAAGATTAGGTGTGGTTCATGGTCTGGTGTTCTGTCAGGAGTACAGCACTCCACTGCCCACTTGTCTTTACCACACAGTATAAATATACACAGCAGATCTTAAACATGCATTGTGGAGCCTAGCATAGCTCACCCATATCTTGAGCAGAACTACTTAGCCAAACTCAGCCTAAGCAAACTACAGAGCAAGCAGCACATGCCATAAAATTTAGGTTGGCCTGTACAACTGTACTATTGTGCTAATAGCTGATTAATACATTTAAAACATACATGGATCAAACATGAAAATATACTGATATCAAACTCATTCCTGGATCAAAAGTATTTTGATTTACATTCAAGTTGACTTATTGGAGAATTAATCTTGAGTATCAAGTTGCCTGGCTTGGTAGGCACCTAGCAGATTAGTGAAGTATACTTTCTAGGTATGGCTGAGTGGGTCCTGGAGGTGTGACCCTAGGGAGAGTGTTTGGTTCTGCACCCTTCCTCTGTTGCTCTTTCCTTAGGTCTGATTCCCACACACCAGGAATTGAGCAGCTTTGTTCCATAGTGCAATTTAGCCATGATGTGTCTGCCTTTGAGCCTGCTGACAATAGCTGAAACCATGAACCAATCTTAAACTTCACCTTCTTTAAATAGTGGATGTCAGGTATTTCATCCCAGCAACAAGACAAAGTAGTTTATTAAAAATTTCAGCAGATTTTGTTGAGAACATGAAGACTGTACTAGATATTTTTCTGTTTATAAATTTACAGCTTCTAATCTCTGAAATTTTAAGACTCTACCATTGTGTAGGCCTTGGTGGGGTACATGGCCATAAAATAGATCCAATTATAGCCTTTTATTTTCCCTGTTCCCTAGCAATTAGCTTCTTTTTGTAACCTAAGTTTGCCTTATAATATGAGTCATGAATTTATAGATCATTAAAACCAGTGTTGCCACCTACGTTGGTAAATGAAACTTCTTTAGATCAAGCCATGTCTACACTCACATATCATCTATGGTTTCTTTTACCCTATAGTAACACAAGTGACTATCTTCAGTGAAATCTATACTGTCTGAACAGACTAAAATAGTGGCATCTGACTCAAGAGAAGAAAATTCTAACATGCACTTATCAGATGTTTCTGACAGAGATCTCCATTCTAGAGTGAGTGACACATAAAGAAGTAATAATATAGCTATTTCCTGGCAGTGAGAGTTGTAAACCATGTTCAGTGGCAATGGTTCCCTTGGAGGAGCAGTGTGAAATAGCCATTCCACCAGATGATAGTTCAGATTTCCCTTTTGTCTCTATGCTAGATGTGGTTCTAGAGGGCTAGCCTTGGTTGAAAAATGGCTCCAATTTCCCAATAATACCGTAAGGCACTTAATTATAATTCTATCCAAGGCAATCACAGTTTCTTTTCTTTCATTGTAGATCACAGTCTTGGAGAAACTTTGATTAATTCCTAATTTCAAAGTTTTCATTCCATTCCCCAGGAATCTTTTTTTTCTCAGCCCATCCTGGGTGTGGGGCTGGCATGGCATGTGGTGACTGGGATTGAACTGCCATCCCTTTGCACTTGCCTAAGCTTGCCTAGGCAGGCACTTTAGACTGCTGAGCTATCTCACTGTCCCCATTCTCCAGGAATTGTATGCTTGCTTATTAGCATAGTTCATATCAATCAACTCTATACTTCACTTGTTGGCTTTCCAGGAGGGGAAATTTGTTCAAAGCACAGAATTAGTCTAATTTACCTCTTTGTGATTATTTTGAAAATCTGAGATTGTAAGAATTAATTAGCAGGTGTCAAGACTACAAAAGTCATAAGGCAATAATTTTCAACATCAACATAACCACCCTTAACTGAGCAATTATCAAGTGTAACTAATCCACCAAGTACTTTCATGTTTTGTGTCATAAATTCTCATAAATAATCCAATGACCTGGGATTTATATTTATTTTATCAAAGAGGAACTGATGGAGTACAAAAATTAGGGTATTTGCTAAAGAACCCATAACTGGTTTGTAGCAAATCCAGGATCCTAAAGCAGGTTGGATTCTAGAGTGTCTATACACAAACATTTTTTTATAACAGCTGAATCAGAGAAGAGTTGTACAGTCATGGAATAATGAAAATCTCCTAATTCCTAGAAAATAATCTCCTCTGTCCTTTGGGTAAGGAAGAAGTGCATCTGCTGGGTTATAGTAAGAGATACTCTGTCCTTTGTCAGAAAAGTAAAGGTCTCAGGTTTGGGGTAAGAGTTCTGCTATTTTGTCTATAGAGTGACAACTGATTTTCTACTTTCTTTTTAAATCTATGGTCAGGGACAAACTAAAAAGGGAAATGTCTATATGATCATGTGTAAAATGAATATTTGATTCCTTACCAAAAGATGAAAGTGGAAATGAACCCTAAAACAGCAGAACGTGTTATCTCTACCTTGTGCAAAAGTAATAGGTGCCTAGGAAGCAGAGTATTCAACAGTTACTCCAGAAATGCCAAAGGTTTTTAGGCATTGCTGTGAGTAGCATGGAATTATGGGAGAAAACACTGACTGAAAGAAAACTCCAGAGACAGGAATATTCTGACAGTGGAATGAGCCCTGCAAAATGAGTGAGGAAAATGAATTCATTGGAGCAGCCTGAAGGTGCTCATAATGACTTAATGTGAGGTACTAATTCCAGAATGTACTGGTTAGGGCTGTGGAGAAGGCTCAGTAGAATAAGCACTTCCCTGGCAAGTGCAAGGACCTGAATTCAATCCCCGGTTCCAGAGGAAAAAAAAATTCCCTCCCTCCAGAAAGTGCTGGTTGTGTAAGATTAAGTTTCTCTTCTCAATTTTTGAGTTTCTTTTCCTTCATCAATCCTGAATTCAGACACCCTGGAACCAGCTATTTTTAGGTAAATTGAGATAAATCTCTTATCTAAAGGAAAAAATATTCTTAGGTATCTGGAAAAAGCTTATGTTTAGACACAAAGAACATTCACTTTGTGCCCAGCACTGTATTTGACCTTAGAGTATCACATACATTTAAACTTTGTTTAAGGAGCTTCTACAAGAAGCAAAAATTAAAGAAATGGACTACTATGTGATAAATTGTGGGATTAGGCCACATGGAGAATATATGCAGTATGGTAGCCTCCACATCTCAGAATACTTGCAAATGAAAAGTTATTTAGTGTTAGTATATTACATTATACAATGAAACAATATCAAGGTTTTCAGACACTATGATCTATTAATGGTTTTAGCATTTTGGAATGGGTACTGGATACAACATCTCTTCTGAGTCTTGAAGGTCAGGTGGAACATAAAGAGAAAATACATCTGGACATAAGTGAATTTAACATTGCTAAAGCAGAATTTGGCAGCAATGGTGTAAGTAGCAAAGGATGAACTGTTGTACTAACCAGATAAACAGGGGTTATGGGAAGGCCTTACATGTCAAATTAATGAGACGGATCTTATTGTCAGGGAAATAAGATTACATCACTAAAGTTCTTACACTGGCTATCTCTGGATGAAAGATAATTTGGGAAAAGTAGGAACAACCATTGGAGACAAATGAGGTTAACGCTGGAAATATCTGTTTCAGGGTCTAAAGCAGTAAACTAATAACTAAATTAATATTTAGAAATGGAAAGATTTGAGAAATACTAAGTTTCCTTCTAAATATTCAGCCACTTACTTCACTTCATCTGAGAATAATAAAGACTGCCCTCGTACTACAGAAATTTGAAATAAACTTATAAACTGTTAGACAATTTTACTACTTTAAACTAAAATAGAGGAAAAGTATATTTTACCTCATTGTAATGTGAAGACAAAGAATGCATGTGAATTTCCAAAACTTTAAATAGAAAGGTAAATATTTATTTACTGTAAGCACCCCCAATAAATTGGAATTAACTTAATAAGTTATCCCTAAGTATGAACTAGAGGGGGTATTGAAAAGTGTAAAAGTATCAACCTCCAAAACAGTAAAAACAATTCTACATTTTAAAACATTTTAATGCAATTATCCACCTGCTGTAAACATATATGAATGAGATTATAAAGATCTATTTTTATATTGTACAATTATTTGGACCACCCCAATACAATGAACAAACTTGCTCTGAGAGTATCTTAAATTTTAGAGGGTGAAGTAATGTTCTAACATAATGTTGACTTCAGTAAAGAACACTTTCTGCTATTCAGCTCATTAGTCTGGGCCAATCATTATATGTTCTCATTCTACTTACCTTGCCCCAGTGTTAATCCCTCTCTATCTCTTCCTCTGTCATTTTTCTATGTAGGGAAATAAGACAAATTCTATAGTTTCTGTAAATTATAATTTTTTAGTGAAGAGTTACCTACCCTTGTCGGTCCTTGTATATCCTGTTGACTTTTTGCCATTGGAATTCAAGCTGTGAAAGGGCTTCCTGGAGCTTGGGCCTTTCTGCAGTGGTAGCACTTTGTAATGCTGCCTTCTTCTTTTTGTGAATAAGGTCAATCCGACCTGAGATTTGTTGCAGATTGTCTCTTATGTTCTGTAATATTGAAAATTTAAAAGAAGTACAAAACATCAGCTTTCCATGGAAAGAAAAATAAAATAAGAAACAGCCCTGAAGTATCAAATGACCTTGTGATTTTTAACTATTGACTTTTCAAAGCTAGACCTTTAAAATCCAGTGCTTTCAATGTGCCTGAATTCAATGGATAGTTTGTAGTACCCACTCTGACATAGCTGATCATTCCTTATACCTTATAACTGCTTACAGTTTGCTTCTGCAAATTGAGCTCTTTTGGTTTTCCCACATCTTGTGTGCCTTCAAATTGTGTGTATCATTTTCTGTATCTGCCTTCTCATACCGATCTCAGTATTTGAGTGTTTACGCTGAATATTTGCACTTCATTCTACTCTGTTGATGTGTCCTCACATTTATTTCTACAATATCACATAACTCTATAAGACAATAATACCCATGTTTACATTTGTATCACAGACCTCTCCTCTGAATCTCAGGCTAACATAATAAATTCAACTATTTTCTGGACATTCAAAAAATCTCATGAAAAATTCCAAATGAACATGAGTCTATATATCTATATATCTATAACTATATATCTATC